ACAACATAAAGCCAAAAATGCATAAAGTCAGAAACACTCCTAAAATTCCCCTACATCACCCATAAATCACTATATATATCGTACACATACACTAGAACTCTTAAATCACTACTGTAATGTGATAATGGTGATTAATTTATCTCGTGCAAAATATATGACGTTTATATTCAAATTATTCGCTGTCTTGCATCGATTCCAGCAATTCAAATTATATTCTCCCAAGTTTAGTCTGTGATTTTATATAAGATAAACACTTTAAAGCCTAATGAAAACACCAAACTTTTGTCTGGGAAGGCAGGGGTAGGTAGGTAGGGAGGGAGGGAGGGAGGGAGGGAGGGAGGTGTACAGTGACCCCTCGGTTAACGAACTCAATCCGTTCCAGAAGGTCGTTCGTTAACGGAAAAGTTCGTTAACCGAAACCATTGTTTCAATGGGTTTTTGGGTAATTGGTTCCAGCTCACCGAAAATTTCCTAAATTCAACAAAAATGGTAGAAAAGTTCACTTTCTTTGAGGTGTGTATGTAGAAGGCTCCTGGATGATGATGATGATGATGGGAATTAGAATGGGGGTGGAGGAGAAGGAAGAAGAGAAGGCATTGGGGTGGAAGAGAAGTCACCCCATGGCACCATTTCACCCATAAAATTTTAGTTCTCTTGGTGTATTTCAAGATTATTTTCTTTAAATCAACACTGCACTGCATTATATATTGTCAATATGTAAAATATATTTCAAAATGACCAATAATTTGCTTGGAAACACAGAAAAAAGCGTTTAGTTGAAGAGTCTCAAGCAAGATGTTACCTCCAGTGAAAACAGAGAGAGACTAACGCCTGTCTGGTGTGTTAACAGGCTGGATGGCACGCCAGAAACTAGTTTCTTTACCTTCAATTATGTTCAATAATTGTTAAAATGACTAAAAAAGTTAATATTAAACTTTTAAAATTATTGAATAGTATAAACTTCTTGATATTTTACTAAAATAGTAAGGAATTTAAGCCCTAGAACCGATTAATGTATTGGCGGACTGATACTAAAGCTGGTTGCCCGGCCAGTGCAAGCGAAAACATGTTGAGGTCGGTTCGTAAGAAATTCGTTAACCGAATTTTTGTTCGTTAACCGAATTGAAGATCCTTATGGAAGGCAGTTCGTTAACCGAAATTTCGTTAAACGAGGGGTCACTGTATTTTGATTGACAGATAGTGCGTCTGGTGAAGTATTTAATTTGTTTATATATTTCAGTTTTTGTTTTTAGCTCATAAAATTCATAGAAATTGCCAGGGCAGAATATAATTTACATTGCTGGAATTCTTATAAGATAGTGGTTAATTTGAATATAAACAAGCTAAAATTTGCATTAGACATACAAATTTTAGATCTAATTTAAGAATTTTATTAGAGCAAAAACTTTATCTTTTGTGCAAAATATATGAAGTTTATATTCAAAATATTCCGTCTTGCAAGGACTTCAGCAATGCAAATTATATTATCCTAACTTAAGTCTGAGGTAGTATTTATTTTTAAACCTGTAAACCTAGTCTTTTTACCCAAACCTTTCTCAGGAAGGTGGGGGGGGGGAGGGAGGGGTGACAGTGACATGTTTGATAGTTGACACCTGTGGTGTGAAGTAATTAATTGTTAGTATTTTTTTCTCTTAGATTGAGTTTTTGTTTTTTGCTTATAAAATTTAATAGAAGTGACTGGGGTGAATTTAATTTACAATCTTATAAGATAGTGATTAGTTTGAATGTAAACATAGAAGAGATCACTGAATTGGCCGAGTACTTCCTCAGCTTATCAGCTGATGTTCAAAACAAAATGTGATTTTCATAAGGGTTTCGTTAATCGAATTTTTTTTTGTTAACCGAACCCACGATCTTATGTGTGTGACCGGGAAACGTTACCTTTTACACCACTAGGACACTAAAAGCAATCCTAGACTTTGTTATATTTCACACAAGGCCTGTTCATCGAGCTTATGGCGCCATGAACCTCCAAGGGAATTGCTCGTGCCTCTTAAGTGATCTGAGAGTAGCGTTTTACCAAATCCGGCTTCGAAACACGAGGTTCCACATATATTTCATTAGCCCATAAAGCACGCGGACTTCTACATATAATCAACAACCTCACCCTGCCAGGACTCGAACCCACCGGGTAACGTTACATCTTAAACCACTCTGACACTAAAAGCAATCCTAGACTACATTAATTGGATGAAGCAGAGGAGGAGACAGTGCTGGGTGGGTCATCGAGTTCGCTTTCTTCAGACAGGCTAACATACTTGGTTGTTGAAGGTATTAGATCATCTTTAGGGAATGACGCAGCAGTGGTGGAGCATAAGGAGACAGCAGTGGGGAACTTCTTAAAAAAAATATGTCCAATTCAGACTGCACAGTTTGCCTTTTCTTTTCATTGTAAATCTCCCTGTGCATCTTGTATCAGTCTGTCAACTTTTGCAAAACGCTCAACATTTTGATCCATTTCTTCAAACATTTGCATCCCCTTATTAGTAGCAAATGCCTCTGCCATTTGTTTCACTGAAAAGTTTTTGGGGGGTGCAGAGTCCTTTCCATTTTGTCTCTCTTCTTCCTCTGCAAATTTCTGTGCCTCCAGTCCAATAAGATCCTCGTTACTTAGCTCTTCTGCTACACTTTCCACCAACTGCTCAACAACTTCATTATCAATTTCTAACTCCAGATGTTTACCCATCTGCACTATCTTGTTACTAATCTCAGAAATTGCTTTATCTTCATTAAATCCTTTGAAACTGTTCACAAATCTTTTCAGGACCTTCTTCCATATTCCATTCACGCACTGACCTGTAACCTCATCCCATGCTGCAACTATGTTCTTTGTACATTGCAAAATTTTGTAGTCCTTCCAAAACTCTCTGAGCGTTTTGTCACCTTCAGTAGCAGCAACAGCCTGAGCGAGTCGTACGTAAATAATACACTTTAAAAGCAGCAATAGCACCTTGATCCATGGGTTGGATGATAGAGGTAGTGTTAGGTAGAAGGTAGACTACCTTAACATCAGGGTGCAGGTGGTGCAGGTGGTCCAGGTGTGGTGGGTGTCCTGGAGTATTATCTGAAATTAACAAAATCTTGAAGGCCCTTGTTGCTCCTTGGCTCGTGGAATGAAACAACTCAGGAACCAATCCTCAAACAGTGCTAGGGTCATCCATGCTTTCTTATTACTGCGATAAAACACTGGCAGCATGTGCTTGATGACATTTTTAAAAGCCCTTGGGTTCTCTGAATGGTTTATCATGAAGGGTTTTACCTTGAAACCAGCTACATCCCCCCCCCCAACAGAAGTGTGATTTGGTCCTTGAATGCCTTGAATCCCAACATGGTTTTCATCTCTGTGAATGTATGCCCGTTCTGGCATGCCGCTTCCAGAATAAGCCAGTTTCATTCACATTAAATATTTGCTCAGGCAAATAATCTCTCCACAATGACACGATCTAGCTCCTCCTTAAAAGCTTCAGCAGCACCCACATCAGCACTTGCTGCCTCTCCACTCACCTTTCCACTGTGCAAATTGTAACATTTCTTAAACCTTTGGAACCACCCATGACTTGCTGTGAGGTTTTGATCGCACTCATCTCCTGCCTGCTTTTTCAGGCTTTCGAAAAGGCTTCTTGCCTTAGCCTGCATGGTCAGAAGGCTTAAGGGTACACGCTTTTGCAGCTGATCTTCCACGACACACATAATTTCTCCATCTCATGAAGAGGACCTTGTTTCTTTTTTGTTATTATAGTTCCATTTATAGGTGCTGATCCTTTCACTACCTCACAAATTCGTTTCTTCTTCAAAATTGTTGATATCGTCTAGAGAGAAGCCAAGGTCGCGTGAAATGGTTGCTCCCGTTTTTCATATTGCATTATTTTCATTTTCATCTCAAAAGCAATTGACTATCTTTTTCTTCTCAGCACCACGAGAACTCTCACTTTTACGCTTGCCAGTCATTTTAAAGTGGATTAGCCCACCCGGGCACGGGTCAATGACCCACATCAGGGCCTGGGGGGACGAAAATATTATAATTATAATAATAATTATAATTATAATTATAATAATAATAACTAATAACTAATAAAATCTATAAAAAAAATAACAAAAATAAAATATAATAATAATACATACCATTAAAAATACAACAAATTAAATTAAAGATCAATAGTAAGAAATGATGTACTGTATGCATGCATTGAGACCCTGCAATTGTGTAAATGAGGCAGAAAGTCAGATCAGTGTAAATATGTTCAATACAGTACTTAATATATTATAACAGTTTCTAAAGTGCTGTATTATGAATATTTTTGTTCCCCATTTATCTTCCCTCGTATTTTAATGTTGTGGAACATTATAATAACCCTTAGACAAGTAAGTCCCATAACAATGGACGAAACCAGTCTAAAGCACGTGTAGCCTTGCTTTCTGTATGCTGTGGGGAAGTTGGTGGTTGGTTAAACCCACCCTGACTAGCCATTGAGCCTTGGCACCCAAGTAGGGTCTGTTTACAATCCCATTATCTGCCTCATGAATCACATAATTTTTGTTTACATTTCCAAGTAACTTCACATTCAACAACAACGGAAAGTTCAAAGAGAACAGCATGCACAAAATAGTAGAGCCATTCCAAAGCCAAAGATTGTCTCTTCACTATTCAAGTTTCATAATGATAGGAAAGAGGTTTGAGGTCAAAATTCTGAGTTGCAGAACATTTTAGTTTATAACATGAGCTGCTTGGTTAAAAATTGTTGGGCGAGATCTCAGCTTTTAATACAGGACTCTATGAGAAAATAGGTCCCATTTTACTGTTTAGTAAGAATTCACCTAACTAACACTTTTTCAAAAACTCATGTTAAACAGGACCTTGCTGGATCTACACAAGGTAGAATTCATTACATCTCTACGACATGCATGCTCATCAGTCTACCACAGTTCTACAACAATAGATCTTTCTTTTATGAACAAGTGATACAAATCTATTATCTTACCGAATTTCTGTTCCAGTTGCTTTGGTAGTTTCCACTGCGGCTACCACGATCCCTGTTATAGGTCACTCTGTTGTCCCTGTTGTAGCCACCACGATTATAATCACGGTTGAAACTACCACGGCTATCTCTATTGTAGCCACCACGATTGTAGTCGCGACTTTCACGATCACGACTCCAACTGCTTCTGTCACGGCGGTCATTATAACCACCACGGCGTTCTCGGTCCCAACCACCTCGGAAGCTACTCCCGCGATTGCCTGCATTGTTAAATTCTCATTAGCAATCACAAGATATCACTTACAGTATATGTATATACACTATATATAAATATGTAATCAGTTTTACATCAATTACATCTTGTCATTAATACAATGACTAACCATAGCCTCCTCGGCGGTCCATGTACCCACCACGTCTTTCGCCAAATCCACCTCTGAAGCCCTTCTTCTGGCCAAAGCCTGCATCTTCTCCTTCCTTGTTATATTGCTCTACTAGCTTTTGGCCCTCCTCACGATTTGTTTCAACGAACTCCACAGAATCAAACAGGTCACCTTCCTCCGGCAATTTGAAGTTGGCTGCACACCAAAAATGTTTTAAAATCGAAACACTGTATCTAAATCCAGGAAAGGCTTTCAATGACCAAAGTATATGAAATCTTACAAAGCACTAAATCTTTTAAAGTTTCAATGATGCATCTGAAGGTATAGCTGTGATGTCAATGAAAACCTTTCCTGGTTGAGGGTGACTGCAGAAGGGGAATAAGATATAAAAATAAATAAATAAATAAACCTTAGAATAAGTGTACGGAGCAATAGTTAAAGGGGGCAAGCATCCAAACATTGAGAAAACATAGGTTATTTGTCAATGGAAGTAGACAACACAGTGACAATGTGGCCATGAGAGCCCATGGTCAGTATGGTTACCTGCATCGCTTATTTACCTTTCATCTCTAGGACAGCCTTGTCCGGAACATCCTTGCCTTCCTCCTTCTCTCGCTTCTCAGTTCGTTTCTTCAGGTCCTCATCAGTGGGACAAATTACAACTGCACGTCGTTTGAAGCCAGCAAAACCCTTCATTTTACGCCTCTGAGCCGATGGGTATACATTCGTCTGTTCCGTATCAGAGGAGATAAACAAGAGCCATTAGGCACTTAGGTTTTTAGGTCCTGCCCGACCCTAAGGTCAGAGTGGCTGAGTTCAGCCTAGTCTCCTCTGTAAAGACAGTCTGGAAGAACAGGTTAATAGCAGTTCCTCTGTACGTGCCCACCCTCCCACCCCATCTTAAACATTAACATACGTACCTGGGAGGCAATGAGATCAGGACCTGCTGAAATGAGCAATCACTCTTTATCCATAATAATTTTTTTTAATCTAGTTAAGGCCTACATCCCTTATTAATTTTCACCGATTTATACATCCTAAATTCCTATTTAACTTACCCAAGAAGTCGTGACCCTGTAATTAAAGAGAATTAGCCAACTTTTCTTCTATAACCAACAGGCCTAATAGGTTTTTTATGGATAAGTCTACATCTGTTTCTCCTTTATCCTACATTTTGTAATCTTTTGAGTCATCATTTAACTTCAAGATGAGCAAATAATGGCTATATTAGATGGAAGTCAAGTCATTTACCACCTTGAGAAAAAATGCTAATTGCAAGTAAAAGAATTTTTACAAGGTTTTAGTATAATAAAGCCTATTTTGAAATCATATATATATATATATATATATATATATATATATATATATATATATATATATATATATATATATATATATATATATATATATATATATATATATATTGTACACACCCACACACACAGGAATATACTCTGGTTATGACAAGGGATGCATTCCTAAAAGTTATTGTGAATAATGAGGCAATTTTCTCCATAAGAATTAATGTAAATATGGAGGGATGCATTGCCAGTCGGTTATTTTCACCGCATAGTTTGCAATATACAGTACACCCCTCATTATCTGAGGTCATTAGGGACCAGAGTTGTGAGTATACTATAGTACCAGTAATTGTGAGGAATAAAGAAAAACTATGTACTGCAGTACAGTGATCCCTCGGTTAACGAGATTTCGGTTAACGAGTTACCTTCCATAAGATTCTTAACTTCGGTTAACGAGCAATCCCTCGATTAACGAGTTTTTTACAAGCCGACCTCAACATGTTTTCGCTTGCATTTGGCGGTCCACCAGCTGTAGTATTAGTCCGCCAATACAGTAATCGGTTTTAGGGCTTAAATTCCTTACTATTTTAGTAAATATCAAGAAGTTTATACTATTCAATAATTTTAAGTTTAATATTAATATTTTTAGTCATTTTAACAATTACTGAACATAACTGAAGGTAAAGAAACTAGTTTCTGGCGTGCCATCCAGCCTGTTAACAAACAAACAGGCGTTAGTCTCTCTCTCTCTTTTCAGTGGAGGTAACATATTGCTTGAGACTCTCTTCAACTAAATGCTTTTTTCTGTGTTTCCAAGCAAATTATTGGTCATTTTGAAATTTATTTTACATATTGACAATATTTAATGCAGTGCAGTGTTGATTTAAAGAAAATAATCTTGAATTACACCAAGAGAACTAAAATTTTATGGGTAAAATGGCGCCATGGGGTGACTTCTCTTCCACCCCAATGCCTTCTCTTCTCCTTTCTCCTCCATCCCCATTCTAATTCCCATCATCATCCAGGAGCCTTCTACGTACACGCCTCAAAGTAAGTGTGCTTTTCTACATTTTTTTTGAATTTAGGCAATTTTCTGTGAGCTGGAACCAATTACCCAAAAACCCATTGAAACAATGGTTTCGGTTAACGAGCAACATGCTGGAACGGATTGTGCTCGTTAACCGAGAGACCACTGTACAAAAAAATCACCCAATCTGTGGGCTAACTACTACGCACGTAAGAAATGTATTCCATTTGTGTTTTGGACATTGTGATATTTTTTTTTTTACATTGTGCATGTGAAAATAAAAAAGCATATCTTCCCGAAATTAAAATTTCAAAAATAACAAAGCTCACAGCTTGGCCTAGTAGGGGGAACATAAGATCCTAGCCCCGCACTTCCTTCACGGCTCCCCTCTGCCTCCCACAATCTGCACGCATATTCCCACGGATGTAAGACATTTTTATTTGTTTTTTGACCCGATGATAATATATTTTTTTATTTGCACATTCTGTATGAACAACTGTGTGTGCTTGTAACAGTAAAAAATAAATAAATAAAATGAAGTCGAAAAAAAAAATATCCGCTTCAGCTGGTAGGAGAGCTACAGGGCCAATCTAACTTGGTGACCTGCCAAGTCTACACACACACATTCATTTTAAACATACCAATACTCATCATAGTTCTCATTTTAAAGTAAAATTTTTTGATAAATACACTCCATATAATGCAATTATATAACCACAATAAAAAACAATTCAAAAGAACACTGTGCGAGTGAGTGAACGCTGGCAGGCAACTGAAAAGGTATAGGATAGTCTAGGACAAACCCGAAAAGTGCCAAATCGACTCCCTCACTCCACACCTTAACGCTTGGAGGAGCACCACACTAGAAGGTGTCAATACTTTCGAGTTAGCCCGACTGCAAACCGAGGCAGACAAGAACCGGAAAGACGTTGCCACCACCCCTCCTGCACTAGATGTAGCCCCCCACATGTGCAACATCTGTAGACAACACCGCCGGTCCCGTATTGGTCTCTCGAGTCACCTACGAACTCATCAATCTAGGTGATATCCTTAATAACACCATATCATTGTATCATAGCTGGATGATAGTCATACTCGATTCCATGTGACAGCAAAGTAGTAGTAACAGGTAGTAGTAGTGTGTGAGTGCGCTTGTGTGTGAGAGTGAATGTGCACAAGTGTGTGTGTGTGTGACATTTGTAAATGAGTAATAATTTAAACTAGCATTTACCATTGCCATACAAAATATTTAAGAATGTTCGGCGTATTTTTTCACACTGCAGTTTAGAAGTAGAAGTACAGGCGTTGGGTAAGCATCTCTGCGTGTGCTCCATTTGATTAGTCCCACTGAACTTAATTAATTTCTAAACTGTGTGGGTCTGTGTGGTGGTGGGGGCTCACATGAAGCGGGCCCTACATCGGAATATGTAGAGCAGCGGCTGGCCCACCCGGTTTGAAATATTACTGTTGGGTATCATAATTTTTCATTTGGGAATAAGCGGAGTATACTTTGCAAATATCAAGTAGAGGTGTTAAAATATTAATTATGGATAAGCAGGGTTGTGAATAGCCAGGTATTCCTGTATACTGTGTGTGTGTGTGTGTGTGTATATATATATATATATATATATATATATATATATATATATATATATATATATATATATATATATATATATATATATATATATATATATATACACACACACACACAGTGGTCCCTCGGTTAATGAACGCCTTGGTTAATGAAATACCTTCCATAAGAATCTTCAATTCGATTAACGAAATCCATACGAACATCACGTTTTGTTGTAAGCATCAGCTGGTCAGCTGATGGCCCAGTCAGCCAATTCAGTAATCTGTTCTAAGTTTAAGTTCGTTTCCAATGGATTAAATATCAATAAATTTGAGCTTTTTAATATTTTTGAATGTTTTATACTAAAATTATTAGTCATTTTAACATTAAATATTGATAATATATGCAGTACTTTAGAGAGAACCAACACACCAGTTTGTTGTTGTGAGAATCAGCTGAGGGGATACAATACTCAGCCAATTCAGTAATCGGTTCTAAGTTTAAATTCGTTTCCAATGGATTAAATATCAATAAATATAAGCTTTTTAATATTTTTGAATGCGTTGTATTAAAATTATTAGTCATTTTAACATTTATTTAACATAGATAATATATGCAGTACAGGGAACTAGTTAGTTGTGCACCCATCAGATGTGTGGGTCGGTCACCAGGTGTCAGCCTGGCTTTGTTTTCTGTGGAGAGAGAACCTATTTTGTTGGTGTCTTGAATAATTTTGCATATTTCAGTGAAATTATTGGTCATTCTGATATTTAGTTAACATATTGATAATATATAGTGCAGTGCAGTGTTGATTTTAAGAAAATTATCTTGAATTACACCAAGTGAACTTATAATTTTATGGGTGAAATGACAGCATGAAGCATGGGGTGATTTCTCTTCCACCCCCACTTCTAATTCCCATCATCATCATCGTCAACCAGGAGTTTTCTACATACACACCTCAAAGTACGTGTACTTTTACTGCATTTTTTTTTTACTTTGTATGTACTTATGGTGAGGTGGAACCAATTACCTAATATCCCATTGAAACAATGGATTCGGTTTACAAAATTTTCGGTTAACGAACGACTTTCTGGAACGAACGGTTCGATTAACGAATTAGCTCCCATAAGGATTTTCAGTTCGATTAACGAACAAACCATTGATAAACGAAATCCTTACGACAAACACATTTTGTTGTGAGCATCAGCTAATGGGCTAGTCTGCCAATACAGTAATCTGTTCTATGTTTACATTCGTTTCCAGTGGAGTAAATATCAAGAATGTTGTGCTCTTTAATATTTTTGCATTTTTTATATTAAAATTATTATTCATTTTAAAATTTAGTTAACATGTTGATTTACACCAAGAGAACTAAAATTTTATGGGTGAAATGGCACCATGGGGTGACTTCTCTTCCACCCCAATGCCTTCTCTTGTCCCTCCTCCTCCACCCCCATTCTAATTCCCATCATCATCATCATCCATGAACCTTCTACATACACACCTCAAAGTAAGTGTACTTTTCTACTTCTTTTGTTGAATTTAGGCAATTTTCGGTGAGCTGGAACAGATTACCCAAAAACCCATTGAAACAATGGTTTCGGTTAACGAGTTTTTGGTTAACGAGCAACCTTCTAGAACGGATTGTGCTCGTTAACCGAGGAACCACTGTAATGATAACACCAATAATAACTTTCTTGTGGAATATCATGGTGAGGGACAGATTACCTGCTTTAACAATGGTATCCAGTGAAAATAAAATGTCCACAGTAATAACGGACTTAAATAAAAAAAAGTTACTCATCACTTCGCTACATCAAAGAGCTACCAGATGGAATATATTTTCAAGTAATACCCAGGCCCCAGAGTATTAACACCAACTTAACTCACAAACTGGACTCTAAGGTAAATATTTTTTTTGCGGCAAATTTTTTAAAACTGCAACCCTCTTTATACATTTTAACACAAACCACCACTGCCTTCAACCTCCCCTCACACAGAATGGTCCTTAACCTCCCTCAGACATTAGGACTTTTAACCTCCCTCATACCATAGGGCCCTTAACCTCCCTCATACCATAGGGCCCTGAACCTCCCTCATACATTAGGACTTTTAACCTCCCACATACCATAGGGCCCTTAACCTCCCTCATCCCATAGGGCCCTTAACCTCCCTCATCCCATAGGGCCCTTAACCTCCCTCATACCATATGGCCCTTAACCTCCCTCATACCATAGGGCCCTTAACCTCCCTCATACCATAGGACCCTGAACCTCCCTCATACATTAGGACTTTTAACCTCCCACATACCATAGGGCCCTGAACCTCCCTCATACATTAGGACTTTTAACCTCCCACATACCATAGGGCCCTTAACCTCCCTCATCCCATAGGGCCCTTAACCTCCCTCATACCATATGGCCCTTAACCTCCCTCATAGCACAGGGCCATTAACTTCCCTCATACCATAGGACCCTGAACCTCCCTCATACATTAGGACTTTTAACCTCCCACATACCATAGGACTTTTAACCTCCCACATACCATAGGGCCCTTAACCTCCCTCATACCATAGGACCCTGAACCTCCCACATACCATAGGGCCCTTAACCTCCCCACATACCATAGGCCCTGAACCTCCTTCATACATTAGGACTTTTAACCTCCCACATACCATAGGGCCCTGAACCTCCCACATACCATAGGGCCCCTGAACCTCCCTCATACCATAGGGCCCTTAACCTCACACATTAGGACTTTTAGCCCCCACATACCATAGGGCCCTTAACCTCCCTCATACATAGACTTTAACCTCCCACATACCATAGACCCTGAACCTCCCTCATACATTAGGACTTTAACCACATACCATAGGGCCCTGAACCTCCTCATACCATAGGACCCTGAACCTCCCACATACCATAGACCCTAACCTCCACATACCATAGGGCCCTTAACCTCCTCACACATTAGACTTTTAGCCTCCCTCATACCATAGGACCCTGAACCTCCCACATACCATAGGCCCTGAACTCCCACATACCATAGGCCCTAACCTCCCTCACACATTAGGACTTTTAGCCTCCCACATACCATAGGACCCTGAACCTCCCACATACCATAGACCCTAACCTCCCACATACCATAGGGCCCTACCTCCCTCATACATTATGACTTTTAGCCTCCTACATACCATAGACCCTGAACCTCCCACACCATAGGGCCTTAACTCCCACATACCATAGGGCCCTTAACCTTCACATACGCTAGGTGCCATAACACCCCCTCATACCATAGGACCCTTAACCTCCCACATACCATAGGACCTAACCTTCCTCATACCATAGGGCCCTTAACCTTCCCCCATCATAGTGCCCTTAACCTCCCTCACCATTGGGGTTTTAGCCTCCCTCATACCATAGGACCCTGAACCTCCCTCATACCATAGGGTCCTTAACCTTCCACATACCATAGTGCCCTTAACCTCCCTCATACATTAGGACTTTTAGCCTCCCTCATACCATAGGACCTGAACCTCCCTCATACCATAGGGCCTTTAACCACCCTCTACCATAGGACCCTTAACCTCCCACATACCATAGGGTCCTTAACCTTCCCCTTCATACCATAGGGCCTTAACCTTCCTACCATAGTGCCTCCAACCTCCCTCATACATTAGGGCCCTTAGCCTCCATCATACCATAGGATAACCTTCCTCATACATTCTGTTATAACCTCCCTCATACATTCGACCCCGTAACCTCTCTCATACATTAGGACTTTTAACCTCCCTCATACATTAGGGCCCTTAATCTCCACATACCATAGGCCCTGAACCTCCCTCATTAGGACTTTAACCTCCCTTATACCAAGGGCCCTTAACCTCCTTCACCTCATGAGGCTTAACCTCCCTCATACATTAGGACTTTTAACCTCCCTTATAATAGGGCCCTTAACCTCCCATACCATAGGTCCCTTAACCCCTGACACATACCATAGTGCCCTTAACCTCCCTCATACATTAGGGCCCTTAGCCTCCATCATACCATAGGACCTTCCTTCCTCATACATTACGGCCCTTAACCTCCCTCATACATTACGTTAACCTCCCTCATACATTAGGACTTTTTACTCCCTCACATTAGGGCTTCCTTCCTCATACCATAGGGCCCTTAACCTTCCTCATACCATAGGGCCCTTAACCTTCCTCATACCATAAGGCCCTAACCTTCCTCATACCCTAGGGCCTTAACATTCCTCATAACCTTGGGCCCTTAACATTCCTCATACCTAGGCCCTTAACATTCCTCATTCCCTTGGGCCCTTAACGCCCCCCTCATACCTAGGCCCCAACATCCCTCATCCCATAGGGCCCTTAACATCCTCATCCCTAGGGCCTTAACCTCCCTCATACCATAGGGCCTTAACCTCCCTCATACCATATGGCCCTTAACCTTCCTCATACCAAGGGCCCTTAACCTCCCTCATACCATATGGCCCTTAACCTCCCACATAGCATAGGGCCTTAACCTCCCCTCTCATACCAAAGGGCCTTAACCTTCCCTCATACCATAAGGGCCCTTAACCTTCCTCATACCATAGGGCCCTTAACCTTCCTCATACCATAGGGCCCTTAACCTTCCTCATACCATAAGGCCCTTAACCTTCCCCCTCATACCATAGGGCCCTTAATCTCCTCATACCATAGGGCCTTAACCTCCCTCATACCAAGGGCCTTAACCACCCTCATACATTAGGACTTTTAACCTCGCTCATACCATAGGGCCCTTAAATACCCTCATACATTGGACTTTTAACCTCGCTCTCACCTTAGTACCCTTAACCTCCCTCATACCAAGGACCTTTAACCTCCCTCATACCATAAGGGCCTTAACCTTCCTCATACCTAGAACTCTTAACCTTCCTCATACCCTAGGGCCCTTAACGTCCCTCATACCCTAGGGCCCTTGCGTACCTCATACCATAGGGCCCTTAACACTCCCTCATACCATAGGGCCTTAAACTCCCTCATACCATAGGGCTCTTAACCTTCCTCACACCATAGGGCCGTAACTCCCCCCATACCCTAGGGCCTAACGTCCCTCATACCATAGGGCCCGTAACCACCCCGCCTACATAGGGCCCGTAACCACACCATACCACCAAAGGCTTAATCTCCCCCTCATACCATCGGACCCTTAGCCTCCCTCATACCATAAGGCCCTTAACCTTCCTCATACCATAGGACCCTTAACATTCCCTCATACCATAGGGCCCTTAACCTCCCTCATGCCATAGGCCCCTTAACCTCCCTCATACATTAGGACTTTTTAACCTAACTCATACCATAGGGCCCTTAACCTCCCTCATACATTAGGACTTTAAACCTTCCTCATACCATAGGACCCTTAACCTCCCTCATACCGTAGGACCCTTAACCTCCCTCATACCATAGAACCATTAACCTCCCTCATAAATTAAAACTTTTAACCTTCCTCATACAGCAGGGTCCTTAACCTCCTTCATACCATAGGGTCCTTAACCTCCTTCATACCATAGGGCCCTTAACCTCCCTCATACAGTAGGGCCCTTAACCGCCATCAAACAGTAGGGCACTTAACCCCCATCATTCAGTAGGGCCCTTAACCCCCATCATTCAGTAGGGCCCTTAACCCCCATCATTCAGTAGGGCCCTTAACCCCCATCACATAGTAGGGCCCTTAATATCCCTCACACAGTAGGGTCCTTACCCTCTCTCACACAGTAGGGCCCTTAACCCCATCATACAGTAGGGCCCTTAACCCTCATCGCATAGTAAGGCCCTAAAACCCCATCACATAGTAGGACCCTAACCCCATTATATAGTAGGGCCCTTAACCCCCATCATACAGTAGGGCCCTTAACCCCATCATACAGTAGGGGCTCTTAACCCCCATCATACAGTAGGGCCCTTAACCCCCAATCATACTGTGAGGCCCTTACCCCCATCATACAGTAGGGCTCTCAACCCCCATCATACAGTAGGGCCCTTAACCCCCATCATCCAGAGGACTCTTCCCCATCATACAGTAGGACTCTTAACCCCATCATACAGTAGGGCCCTTAACCCCATCATACAGTAGGACTCTTAACCCCCATCATACAGTAGGACCTAACCCCCATCATACAGTAGGGCCCTTAACCCCCATCATACAGTAGGGCCCTTAACCCCATCATACAGTGAGACTCTTAACCCCCATCATACAGTAGGACTCCAACCCCCCATCATACAGTAGGGCTCTTAACCCCCATCATACAGTAAGACTCTTAACCCCCATCATACAGTAGGACTCTTAACCCCATCATACAAGTGAGGCTCTTAACCCTCATCATACAGTAGGGCCCTTAACCCCCATCATACAGTAGGGCCCTTAACCCCCATCATTCAGTAGGGCCCTTACCCCCATCATTCAGTAGGGCCCTTAACCCCCATCTAAATGGGACCCTTAACCCCCTTCACATAGTAGGACCCTTAACCATCATCACATAGTAGGACCCTTAACCCCTTCACATAGTAGGACCCTTAACCCCCATCATACAGTGGGACTCTTAACCCCCATCATGCAGTGGGGCCCTTAACCCCCATCATACAGTAGGGCCCTTAACCCCTTCACATAGGACCCTTAACCCCCATCATACAGTAGGCTCTTAACCCCCATCATACAGTGAGGGCCCTTAACCCCCCATCATACAGTAGGGCCTTTAACCCCATCACAAAGTAGGACCCTAAGCCCCATCATACAGTAGGACTCTTAACCCTCTTCACATAGTAGGGCCCTAACCATCATCACAATAGGACCCTTAACCCCCTTCACTAGTAGGACCCTTAACCCCCATCATAGTGGGCCCTTAACCCCCATCACAAAGTAGGGCCCCTTAACCCCCATCATCAGTAGGACCGTTAACCCCATCATACAGTAGGGCCCTTAACCTCCCTTTTACAGTAGGACCCTTAACCTCCCTCAAACAGTAGGGCCCTTAACCCCCAAATACAATAGGGCCTCAACCTCCATCATACAATAGGGCCCTTAACCCCCATCACATAGTAGGGCCCTTAACTCCCCATCATACAATAGGGCCCTTAACCTCCATCATACAATAGAACCCTTAACCCCCATCATACTGTGAACCCTTAACCCCCATCATACAGTAGGCCCTCAACCCCCATCATACAGTAGGGCCTCAACATCCCATCATACAATAGGGCCCTTAACCCCCATAATACAATAGGGCCCTTAACTCTCATCATACAATAGAACCCTAACCCCCATCATACAGTAGGGCCCTTCACCCCCATCATACAATAGAACCCTAACCCCCCATCATACAGTAATGGCCTTAACCCCCATCATACAGTAGAGGCCTTCCCCCTAATCAGTAGTGGCCTTAACCCCCCTCATACAGTGGGCGCCAACCCCCATCATACAACATAGGCCCTTAATCCCCATCATACAGTGAGGCCCTTCACCCCCATCATACAGTATGGCCTAACTCCCATCATACAGTGAACCTTAACCCCATCATACAGTAGGCCCCTTAACCCATCATACAGTAGGGCCCTTAACCCCCATCATACAGTAGGGCCCTTAACCCCCATCATACAATAGAACCCTTAACCCCCCATCATACAGTAGAACCCTCAACCCTCATCATACAATAGGGCCCTACTTCCCCATAATACAATAGGGCCTTAACTCTCATCATACAAACCCTTAACCCCCATACAGTAGGGCCCTTCACCCCCATCATACAGTAGGGCCCTTCACCCCCATCATACAGTAGGGCCACCTCAACGGCATCATAGTAGGGCCCTTAACTCTCATCATACAATAGAACCCTTAACCCCCATCATACAGTAGGGCCCTTCACCCCCCAACATTAGTAGGGCCCTTCACCCCCATCATACAGTAGGGCCCTAACACCATCATACAATAGGGCCCTTAACCCCCATCATACAGTAGGGCCCTAACTCTCATCATACAATAGAACCCTTAACCCCCATCATACAGTAGGGCCTTCACCCCCATCATACAGTGGGGCCTTCACCCCATCATACAGTAGGGCCCTTAACCCCCATCATACAGTAGAGCCCTTAACAACCATCATACAATAGAGCCATAACACCCATCACACAGTAGAACCCTTAACCCCCAATCTACAGTAGGGCCTCAACCCCCATCATACAGTAGGGCCCTCAACATACATCATACAATAGGGCCTAACCCCCATAATACAATAGGGCCTTAACTCTCATCATACAATAGAACCCTTAACCCCATCATACAGTAGGGCCTTCACCCCCATCGTGGGGCCCTTCACCCCCATCATACAGTAGGAGCCTTCACCCCATCATACAATGGAGCCTCAACCCCATCATACAATAGGGCCTTCACCCCCATCATACAGTAGTGGCCTTAACCCCCACATTGTGGAGCATAACACCCTCGCCTGATGGGCCTTAACCCCCATCACACAGTAGGGCCCTTAACCCCCATCATACAGTAGGGCACTTAACCCCCTGATCGTAGTGGCCTTAACCCCCTCTACAGATGAGGCCCTTAACCCCCATCATACAGTGAGGCATAACCCC